ACAGGCAATTGCAAGTATCCCATGACTGCATTTTAACATTTTGTACATTTTAACATTGAATCAGAGTACACATACATTGTTCAGTTGGACTGAATAGATTTCAGTCAGTTTTTAATTGAAAAACATTATGATACCCACTGATTCTCTGTACAAATGTGTGAAAATCAAAAGTTAAAAACTTTTGGGAATTGAAATTCTAAAGATTACATTGTACGTTCGTGTACGTTTGTGTGGACTGCTTGAAATGTGACTACTTTAGACAATTAAAATACAAGCGTTCATAGACTTTAAGTGTACACCTGTGTTTCCTTCTTTATAGTCTGGCCAGTGTCTCACAGGTAGTTGTACAGTGTAGTAAACTCTAGCCAAAATAACCAGGAGCTGTCACTTGTCAGTGATTCAGCATCCTTCCAGATCACGAGATAATCAAACACTTATGGTCACCTTTAGGACAGGAAAAGAGGCAATGCACACAGGGGTTGAACTCAAGGTGTGGTTCAGTTTGTGGTCAGTGATCACCGTGCTAATAGTTAACTTTGGTCAAGGCGTTCGACAATGAAGTCCGATGATCGATGGTCGGCTGCCAACAAAAACAGTAGCCTCACACTAAGCAATCACACGTACTTTACGAAGTGCGAACAGCGACCTCACGCAGCTACCGGTAGGCTACAATATGCAAATCAGGTGGTGCTGAATGAATGCCTTGGAACATCTGTTGAATATCTTAGGACAGTTTAGGTAAAGGTAAATGGGACGAACCTGTATTCACAGAAACAGAGTGCCCATCTCTCTTTCGAAGTGATTGGGCCAGACTAGAGTCCATGAAATGCTGCTATGAGTGAGTCACCACACCTCCTCCACAGCGAGTCTGTTACCTTCCCAGCACTGAATAACGCGGTACCCATTTAACACCTGGGTTGAGAGGAGTGATTGAGGTAAAGCGCGTTACTCAAGGGCACAATAGGCATGGTCACGGCGGGGCTCGAACCCACAATCTTACGATCATTACTCCTATGCTCCACCACTAGACCACACTTTGCATAATCACACGATCACAGACTACCGGTACATATTATTATGTTCACTGAGACCAAAAACTTTTCACATTGAATTTGATTATAATAGTGACTAATATGACACATACTGGTAACTGGATTTCCAATTTTCTTTGCAGTCCCTTTCTCAAATTTCGACAATGGAAGGTATGTACCGGTAATTTCCATTCTCAAATTTGGACAATGGAAGGTATGCAATAGTATGCCAAGAATGTAACGACCATAGTCTGGCAGAAAGTCTGGACTAAACCCAGTCCTCGTCATCTGACTTATTAAGGACCTCCCGAATACCAAAGCAAAAACACCCGGTTTTATTTGCGGGCGCTCAACGGTGCAGTTGTTTGACATTCAAAGGCACAGTCTCTGCATGCCTCTGCTTTGATCGCAAAGCTGGGATCGGAGCATTGTGGTTTGAAAGACACCCTGACCCTAGAAGAAGAAATGTCAAGAACACAATGGCGAATTTTACGGATGATTAGGCCCTGGCAGGCTGTGCTGCAGGAATTTGGAGTTACTCACTAAACACTGATTTCTTTGAGAGTACATCATGTACAATACGCAGCGGCATAAAACATGCATACAATGCGTCTCGACTCTCAAAGTTCATATCTGACGGGGAGCCACTCCTGTCTAGTCCACATTTACCGGTAGTCTAGTCAATGCAAGTTTCAAGGGAATATGATTCTGTGGACTTGTGAATGAAAACTGAGTACATTGATTCAGGTTTTTCTGACACATGTACCCCAGTACTAGTTGATGTGGTTCCTTGACATTGGTGCTCGGTTTTTTTTGGAGTGTGGTAATGGATAAAGTGTAGTTGGATGGCACTAATGGTAAGTATACAGTATTTTGGGATCAAGAGTGTTGGAATGGTACATGTAATAAGTTGACAATTTTGAGAAGGGATGACTGATGAGTAAGAAGGATTTTGTCTTGGATCCGTGGATTCAGGTTGGGGGAAGTGGGATTACTCAGACAAGCAATGGACTAGGGGCACAATGGAGAAAAAAGGTGAGGAAAGAATGTTGCATCCTGACTCCTACTTTTTTTCATCATACAGTATCATCTCAGTGAAGGTCAGTCATTACGAACATATTCAAAAGTCATGAATCTGGCACTGAGAAACATTTCCAATTTTGTTTAAAATATCTTGTGAAAATTTACTTGACTCTCCATAGATTTTGTACACAACCAAAGAAGTGGCGTCTGGATACCACATTCTTTCCAAAATTGGCAAACAATGAGAAGATGCACAACCTTTTAAACAAAGTAATTCGGCTCAGTGGCAATCTATCTTGGGTTTTTTTCACCTTTTTTTTTCTCAATATTCCTTACCATCAATTAAAAAACCTTTCCATTAAAACCTATTCTGTGTAATTGATGATGCATTCTCTGGCTGAGGGTCACTGAAATTATTTCTTGCTGGACCCAAAGGGCCAGGCTATTGCCCTCTGATTGACTGAGTCACCGACTTACTGACCGACTGACCATGGAGCTATATTTTTTTTAGCTCCATGGACTGACTGACTCAGTCACCGACTATAGTCTATACCAGTCCGAAAATTTGGGACTCTCAATACTGTGTATGAGAGTCCCAAAACTTAAGTATTGAAAACATGCAATACATGAAAATGGACTGGCACCTGAAACAACCAGTCCAACACCGCTTCAGTACTGCATCAATCAACCATGCCAAAAGAAACATGTGGCATGAACCAGGAACTACATGCACCGTAGTCTCTATTTCTACACATTTCTCCATAGTCAGCCACCAGACTTAAATGACACTGAATGAAAAGGTCAGTCTTTTCAAATAGATTGAACCATGGTTAGACACGTACCAGTCTAGTGTTTAGCCTCATTTTGAAATCACTTGACTTCCCTCTCCTGTGCAAAATATTGAAGAAATGTCTCCTTTAAAAATTGAATTGAGTCTTCAAAGTTGGTTTGTGAAATACCGGTACTGAGGACCTTTTCTTTGCCCAATGTAATTTTTGGAGAAATTTGCTTGCTAAAGAGTGAGTGAAGCTGCTGGCCTGATTTAGGTTTGCACGTTTCAGGGCACTCCAGGTCTCAGTCTGAGTCTATACATGTCCTCAATTGAGGCTTTTGGGTACAACATGACCAGGCGAGGGTTTGATCAGCTACAGGAAAGCAAACCTTTCCCAGATCCCACATCAGACTTTTATTATACACGACCTGAATACATCAACTCAACCATGGACTCTCTGCTGGGAACCCCTGATCCTATGACAACTTCTCAGGTCAACCATGAACCCTATTGCTGGACAGGTGTGAACCTCATAAAAAAACACCATGTTGAGTGACAGAGGCTTGGGAAGTGGTTTCTCAGCTGTGCTTGTGGGAATGGGACTTTGGTGCATTATGAAACTAGAGTAAAGTGAGGATGAGGGAAGACATTGGCTTTTTTCCCACCCCCTATTCACGAGGAAGCCAGTTTTGATCGTGTTCCTTGAATGTGTTTTATAAATTGTAAACTGTTGAATGGGATGGTGCCAGACTATTTATGAGTTCCAAGCCTCACTTTAATTTTTTTTTTATTGAAATGTGGCTTAAAACATTAGGGTACCGGTATGTTTACATGTTATCCCAAATTTTAAATTATTCATTATAAATAGCAGATTGGTAGGCCTAGTAATTTGTAATTAACTTTATTTCATTGCTTTCATTTAATTCACAAGTTCCAAAAATGAAGCTTGCAATTTAAAATGGCCGACCCACACACAGGGCTCTCATGGGTGGTTCTGATGAGGCCCAATAGACCATTACAATGTTGCGCCTGTCTTGATTTTTCCCATTCAAATCAATGTAGCCAAAGCAAAGCTGGAAGAAAATATAGTCTGGTTCCTTTTTGCACAAAAAAACATCATTCAGTACTGTGATTGGATACAGGGAACATGACTGCAATGGTGGCAGCATGATAACAGTCTATAAAGTCTGGACTCCATACAGTACTCCAGAAATACATCCAGCCATGGATCCCATGTTTCCTTCAGTGAACAATCTGATCACGGTCAATAGATGTTTGGAGGCCGAAGATGAGAAGGATGTGTGAAGCCATCCGTATTGGCATCCTACACTCTGGAATTTATAATCGCTCTGGTTGAATAGTTGCATGCAACATGCAGGTCTATGTACATGTACATGTATGTGCTTTGTAATGTAGGCACGACAATGTCAAGTTTTAAGCAATGTACAGAAGAAAATGTTTGTGTGTCATTCCTGTATACTAGCTGTGTCCTTTCTTTGTGGTCATTGCCCTGTGTTTGAACTGATTATTATGCTGGTACCTCAGGTAGTAAACATGTTATGTCAGCATATTTCTGTGGATATCCTTTACAAACATGAAAAAATAATCCTTGTTCACTTAGTCAATAAAATGTAATGTCCTTTTGTGACTTTGAAGACCGGTGTGCAGTTACGTGTAAATGAGATATGTTATAAAAACAATGGTCTAGCCCTGAAAAATCCTTACTTTCAGATCAGTTAACCCTTTGGACACGTTTTACCTTTTCTTGGTTTATACAGTAATGATTTCATCGTCCTTGCAAGCAATGTTAATTGCAATGGCCTACATCTTGACCTCTGGCTGACCCTGTTACTGACCGGAAAAATCAAACTTTGGACCAGAACGAACCATTTTTTGTGGGTTAATCACTTTGTTCACATGTGACTGTGAGTACGGTACAGACTGCACAGTGTTCTGTGAGGCAATAGCCCATGTGTACATGTATGTACATGTACATGTGTCAAGGTACACATTTGTGCTAGAACATAGTACACAAAAGAACTGTGGGCATTCATTTCTCAAATGTATAAGAACAGCCCATTGACATGATTGAAGGCAGTATTGATTTAAACACAGACAAGCTTTGGACTTTGCATACATGTACATAGTACAAATGTACATGTACAATGCATTATGGTCCAATGCAGTGGACGGCCTGTATTGTGAACATCGCTCTGTCTGTCTGTGTGTGTGACTGTGTATTGGAGACAATTACGTCAGTGCTCAGGTATGGCAGATATTCATAACAATATTCTTTCATTAACGTTCCCATTTGAGGCTCATAATACCTGTGTGCCATTGAGAGTGATGACTCACGTGCCGGAAATCTACAACTGTGTGCGTATAATTTAATATTGATTTTTGTAACAGGAAATTATCGGTGGGATTCCTAATGGAACATGTGTACAGTGTACAGGTACGGTAGGTGTACTGGTACGGTACCGGTAGGTCCCTAATGAAAGGATACAGTGTACATATCCATGTACAGTATGTACACGTGAGTATCAAAATTTGGGTCACTTTCATTCTTGTACCGCTACATGTACGGTATGAGAAGAAATGGGTGTTCACATGTTTTCACTGCACACTACAGCTTACATATCATGTACATTTATTTAGCCATTGATTTGGGTCACAGATGGAGAGAATTCTTTTAGACACTTGAAGAGACAAGACCCACGGATGACATCACACAACAACTTTTGTTTTTATGTGAATATTTTATGCGTTTGTTGAAGAATACGTTTTTTTATGTACATGTTTAAAAAAAGGAGACAAGACCCACGAATGACATCACACAACAACTTTTGTTTTATGTGAATATTGCGTTTGTTGAAGAATCAGTTTCTTTATACATGTACATGTTAAAAAAAAAGTAGGGACATAAATTCAGTTTAGGACTGAATTCAGTTTGGGACTGACCACATGTAGATTTTCTGATGTCAGATGACACTCTACAGGTGTATCACAGTTCTAAAGTCCCAAACCCATGTTCACGTGTACAAAACAGTCAGCAGTGTAGTCTTGTTGCTGTTACAGTTTTCACAATCAATGTACAATGTAATTTAGTGAATATTTCTAAGGAAAATCAAAATGATATAACTATGGAGCTATGTAACCAAGGTACCGGTACATGTACTTGCTCTGAACATGCAGCATGCTTCATCAATGGTCAAAGTTGACTTCCGAAAAATACATCAATTTTAAAACACATCACATGACCGTTACTCAAGTACATGAGAGTTCAAAGTTTACATTACATGTACATGTCATACATGGGTGTGATGAGGGTGTGTCCAAAAAATTCCATCAAGAGTTGGTGTGTCAAAATATAATGATCCAAACAAGAATTTAAAGCAACATGGCTTTAGCATGCCCACAGATTTATTAGTGTCACATGTTCATGCACATGCAAGTGTACTTAATATGCACAGGCATCATACCAGTACGTGTGGGTTGTTTCCTTTTCTACTTTATTCAGAGATGTTTATTTTGACTGCAGTTTATCTGTCCTCTCCCATGGGTCATTCTTACTCCATTCAATAGCAGTCTGTTGGTAGACTTTGGATTTCCATCGCAATGTTGACATTGCACAGACAACAGGATCATAAAGGATTAACTCCAAGCCAATATTGACCTTCTAGATGGAAACCAGGGAGATGTTCAATGATCGATAGATCCCTTGGATGAGCCAGCCTCAAAAGTTTAACCCTGGTACTGGCTGCACATACCGTATGCTCACAAATGTTTATTTGAATGGAAGGAGGCTTGAATCATGACTGTTCTCTCAGACGTGAGGCACAGCATTGCATCAACAAACAGAAGATGATTTGCACGCTTGGTGAGGGGTTCATCAGCAGAGAACAATCGCCGCAGTGAGTGGATAATATGTGGCAGGGTTAAATCATTGAAAGATACGTCATACTCCAAAACGGACATCTTAAGATCGTACGTCATACTCCAAAATGGACATCTTGAGATCGTGTGGAAACAAAAGCCTGGATTGTGTCTGAAGTGAGAAGATTGTTAATTTGAAAGATTCAGGATTGCTGCATTTTATTCTTGATGGACTTTGCAAAAGCTGATGCCACTCACAGGAAAACTTCACCCGAAAGGAAGGCTTCCTTTATAGCTCACAGATCTCTTTATAGGGCAAGTATTTTAAAAACATAACAAGAACAGCATGTACATGTACGGTACATGTACTATTTTTCATACTGTAAGTATGCATTCCTGAAGAGCGTTAAACTATAGAGCAAGGAACTAGCCTTTTCTTGTCCCTCACTTTTCCTTAGTTGTCCCCTCTCGCAATATGAGGCACAGCATTGCATCAACAAACAGAACAAGCTTGGTGAGAAGTTTAGCAGAGAACAATCGCCTTGGCAAGTGGATGATTTGTGGCAGGGTTAAATCGTTGAAAGATACGTCATACTCCAAAAATGGACATCTTGAGATCGTGTGGAAACATGAGCATGGATTAATATTGTGTCTGAAGTGAGAAGATTGTTAATTTGAAAGATTCAGGATTGCTGCATCTTATTCTTGATGGACTTTGCAAAAGCTGATGCCACTCACAGGAAAACTTCACCCAAAAGGATGGCTTCCTTCACAGCTTAGGGCAAGTATTTAAAAAACAAAACGAACCATTTTTCGTATCATACAGGCTATACTGTAAGTAGTAGGAATTGCATTCGTGATGGGTGTTAGCTTTTTCTTGTCCCTCACTTTTCCTTAGTTGTCCCCTCTTGCAATGCTGTACTGTTTTACTTTTGCCTCCCACTGTGAAGTGGTTGAACCCTATGACTCATTCTGCTTGCATTAATAATAGCGCTGCTGCCTCAAGAGCCCAGAAATCACTATTCACAGAGCAGGGGATTTATTTTGATTTCCGAGGGGCATATTTTCCCATCCATTGTCTGCAAATTTAGGAAGAATACAGTAGATGTTTCTGTTCCCAATGTCCTTCTGGAGTGTGTGTCTTTGTATGGCCATGGAGGGTATGCTGCGGAAGTACATTTATATTGTTCGGAACGTTTCCTTCGGTATTATGGAAATGAGCTTAAAGAAGGTTTTTGCCACAAAAAAAGCCTTTGGTTACTAATTAAGGGTCAAATATTAAGCTATGGGTGGTTGAGCTTCATTCTGAAAGGGAAATTTGAGTTCAGGCAGAGTTCATTGAGATTCAGAATTGTGTTTGAAGTGGGTCCGCCTCTGTGAGGATTGCCTGCAGTTAAATGCTAATTTTGGATGAAACCGCAGAAAGGAAACCTGTGTGGCTGTACTGTAGAACCTGTGATGGAAGATTGTGATGGAACTGTTTGATTTTTTTATACATTTTAAAAGTGTCTGCCATTAAATAAAATGTGAAGTTCCTTTTTTGTAATAAAGGTTATATTTGAATTTGAATTGTGAATTTGTCTCTAAATTTACACTTACACATTGCACATCATTTAAAAGTTGACATAAATTTGATTTTTTTTTCTTACATGTAAATCAGTATTTGGCTATATTGTATGCATTTACCTGTATGTATGTATTCTCCGGCCTACTGGTCCATACAGTACACGTATACATACTTTTATTTTTACATGTACTTACCTTGTACATGTATGACATGTCAAGTTTAATTTGGGAGAAAATCTTTCACGCTCCGGCAGATTTTATTCAGACCTAATTAATCAACTCGACTAGTTAGCCAAAAGGATTTCCTCTGGTCATATTTATAGTCAATAAATTTCATCATCTGCGAGTTACGGTACCTCCATCTGCATGTTCACATCCCCAAGGCGAAGAGATGCCTGAAATAGCATCGTTAGGATTACCTCATCTGAACGAACGGTAAAGGTCACTCCCAATCAATGCCAGGCTTGCCAGCGTGCATCGACCGTGTGGAACTGGTCGCGGGAATTCTGAATGGAATTATTAAATGGCGCAGTTCCAACGTGGAACTGCCAACCCTGGCCTGGGAACAATGATGTAATGGTTCTCATGGCATCAGCTCTGCTTTGACAGATGCGTGGGTATATAAGCCCTGCCGCGTGGATGTTGCCGATTTTACGTCTTTGGTTTTGGTTTGAAAGCAAGTTGTGCTCTGGCATGGTCTGACGAATGCAAAAGTTGTGTCAGTTTTTCCACATGCTTACTTAGATTGACTAATCTGCATTGTTTGGCTTTGGTGTGTTTGTTTGTGGGATGGACTGTTTGGACTTTGACCTCCTGTGACCTCTACTTGGATGTTTTGACTGTCGGTCGTGGGTGAATCATGCTGTGTTTTGTTCTTCCTGGGTTTGGTAAATTACGAAGGAAGAAGAGGAGAACCAAGAATCTCAAGATGATGAAGCTCAATGGTAATACATTGGAGATTGCAGTGATATGTTTTTCATTTAATATACGATAGATTTATTTATTTTTCTTTGTAACAGAAAATTGTGTATATTGTAGGAATTATGAAAATACCGGTATAATGGTCCAAATATTTAAAAGCTTCCGGTAGGTAGCATTGATGTAGAGTTGTGGATGTGCTTATTTTGTTTGTTGGGTTTTTCTTTCAAACAAAGTAAAGGATTTGGGTTTATTTTCTACGGTACAGCACACCATACAAAAATGTACAGTATACTAGTGCAATATTTCTTGTATTGCTTTTAGCATGTGAACCATTGAATTTCAGGATTTTTCAAGATAAACTGTCTCTGACATTCACACTGGAGGGAGTTTGGTGAAACAACATGCACTTTTTTCATTGCTATGCCCTGAGGTTAGCATGCATGGTGTACCAGTACGGTAACTGTATCTTTCTATGTACAAATACCGGTACTTTGTTTAAAAATTGTTGAGTTAAAGAAGGTGACCTTCACTTCATGTTCTTGGATTGTAGTTATTGGTCAATGGTCATGCAATAGTTGATGTACTGTACAAGACACAGTGTGACTTTCTATATCAGATGGTGTCTAGACTACCTTGTTAATCTGTGTTGTTTATTTTCCCAATTACCGGTAGGTACATATAGGGTACATGTACCTCCTATTAAAGTGATGGCTTGTTGCCACCTTTATTGTGTAATAATGCTTGTTCAGTGTGGCCTGGTCCATGGTTGATTTATTTGTATAGCCTGATCTGTTTAGGAAATGTGGGCAGATAATAGGAAGGAATCACTCTAAACAAATAGAGGGTTACTTCCTGATGAGATAGTTAATAACTTCCACCACAGTGACTGAGCTACTGGTACAT